TCGTATTTGTGTTTTGGCGAATTAATGTTTAATGTTTCATGTACATGTATGTGTTATTTTTTGTGAACTTAAAACTTATGATGACCATTCCATGGAATAAATCATTCAACGTTTGACCTGAAGATGTGTTTATAACAACACAAAACAGCTGTAGTCAACTAACTACAAACCAGGATCACTTGACGGATACAGGTAATTTAAACCTTTTGTAAAAATCAGTGATCCAGAGGCTATACCATAAAAATGAAATTATTTTTTCATTGTATCTAGGCTACCAATAAAGATTTATTATTTTATTATTGGTAATCAAGATGGGTCAGTCTGAGATGTATATACATAACAAGACATTCAATTTGCCCAGGTTTTGGTCAGTGAGCTATGTAGGCTACAGGGAGAGCGAGACCCAGTCAAGATACAGAAGGTGGCCAACTCCATCGCGTGGATGGCTCGCAACTTAGCGTTCGACGACAAGTTTCTATCACCATTCGCCAAGTCTGCAATGGCCAATGGAATATACGCTATAGGTATGTTTGCTACTTTGTCAACTTAGGTACTAGGCTTGCTGTAACAGCTAATGAGTGCCTTGTCGTATAGTAAAATTACAACAATATGATTGCCATTAAACTGAAATAATATCTACATATTATATAACCACTGGATTGTCAGTAGTGTGTTTATTCACGTAATTATTTACTGTACATTTAATAAATCTCAAATGTCCCTTTTTTCTGTTGCACTGGACTGTTCTAAGGTTCCAGATCAAAAAATACCCCTGCCCCTGCTACAGCAATCCTGCATTACATTTTCCCGTTTGAATTTTCTCATAATTATTTCCTTAACACGTTCACTACTGACATGTTAAAAAATTACATAAATATAGACCAAATTGTCCCACCTATGCCCCACAACAGCTTTACCACAGACCGACGTCCCACATGTGCGCCAGTGTCCCCGGCTGATTTCCTACGTCACGTCCCAGGTCGTATCAGTCCACTTTATACCTTGTTATTTTATATCCGTCTTTGGGGATATATGACAGGTATATGGGACGCTTGGTCTCTGGATTTGACTATTGGTATATTCAGTACAACACCATACAGTTGGTATAGCTTTGTTTGTTTTTATTGTATTTGCTCCCATGTGCTTATTTGGATCATAGCTGTACCACGTGTTTCTCAGTGAAGTTGAGTTATACTGTGAGTATGTTGGTTCTCAGCAGTTGTGTTTAAGTTGGTTTTTTCGGAATTGGGTTTACGGTGGAAATATAGGACAATCAGTCTATGGTAAATTTGCATTATACATTTCTGCTATAGACCAACGGCTAACATATGCGCAGTTTTAAAATTTCTCAAAACTGGAAATTTAGGAGAAGTAACAGTGGAAGCATTAATATTGCATATCAATTGATTATGACAGGTTTTTATTCCCGGTCTAAGCTACTGACCAATTTACTATATCCAGTCTATCAGTGACGTTCAATATTAGAGTCGGTCTATTTTGATTGCCCTACTGGCGCATATGCACCGATGGGTAGCGAACAAATTAATGTCAGATTAATTCCCTAATTTTTTAAACTTAAGTTTTTACTCGTTTTTTGAAGTTTTTCCCTAACCTATTTACAATGACCATCAGTGTAGCTCGTAACCGCATTCGCTGCAAGATAGTGCTGCTAACCCACTGACCCTCAAGTAGGACATTGAATCTAACTTACGCCCGGTAGTGTCGTCGGTTTTTATAGTGACAACCAACCCGTTCGGGCGACGGTGGCATGTTAGCTCAGTTGGCTAAGGCGTTGCACTTGACTTGTGTCTAAAATTTAAAATTCCCATGTAGTTTTCAGGCATGAGGTACGTGTATTTGAATATATGGAGTTGTTCAAAAATTAACCAGGGGGACTATTACGGGACACCCGGTATAAGCTTTTACCAATGTTATTATTGGTACACCTACGCAAATATGCGACGTTTTAATGTGACCAGCCATCGCATATTTGTGGCGCTGTTTAAAATGAATGAAAAATTTAGTACTATTGTGGTAGAGACAGGGTGTCTAGTAGTCGGGAAAATCGGGAAAGTCAGGAATTAGTATTGAATTTCAAAATGGTCTTGAAAAGTCGGGATTTAGTCTTAAATTTGATTTCAAAGTCGGGAATTTTCATGATTTTGTCGCGATCGCGGACGACGACGATGACGTTTCCGTGACCGCGGGAGACGACGATGATGTCTACACGGCCGCGGGAACTGTTCATGATTTTGCCGTGATCGCGGACGACGACGATAACGTTTCCATGACCGCGGGAGATGACGGTGATGTCTAAACAGCCGTGGGAAATGTTCATGATTTTGCCGCGATCGCGGACGATAACGTTTCCGTGACCGCGGGAGACGACGATGATATCTGCTCGGCCTTGGGAAATGTCCATGATTTTGTCGCGATCGCGGGAGATGACGATGACGTTTCCGTGACCGCGGGGGACGACGATGACGTTTCCGTGACCGTGGGAGACGACGATGACGTTTCCGTGACAATGGGAGACGACGATGATGTCATTGATGTCTACAAGGCCGCGGGAAATGTTCATGATTTTGCCGTGATCGCGGACGACGACGATCACGTTTCTGTAACCGCTGCAATCAATGATGATGTCTAAACGTACGGTACGCGGAAGATTTCATGATAAAAAAAAACCAGATTTGCTAGTTAGAATTTTTTATTGCTGCATTATTTCTTTACTTGAAAACATGACATTATCATAATACTACTTTATGACAAAGACAGGGGTATGTGTAGTATTATTTAGAAAATTTGGTTAAGCTCTATAAAAATTGGTATCGGTGTCAAGAATCGAGAATCGGTACATTTTGGTATCAACACCCACTAATTGTTGAAAAAACTAGTCTTGAAAAATCTGGAATTAGTCTTGAAAAGTCTGGAATTAGTCTTGAATTTTGTAATGGAAATAAACTAGACACCCTGTAGAGAACGTGTTGAACAATATAATATAAAGAAAGAATATAATATTACTGGGGTGGCGGAATTGTACCCCCTCCCCTGCTGGTTAGTGACGTCACGATGACGTCTCATTTTCTAGACCAAAACGGCATGTACGGGGTGGAATTGTCCCCCCCCTGGAATTTTACCCCCAACCATTTGACTCAGACCTCTTCATGCACTGAAATTATAATGGACTTGATTGTAATACCTTAATAATATGTGATGTTGAATTCAAACTGAAATCGAACTCAACTAAAAATCAAATAAGTTTAAATACAATGTAGGCCTTTGTAGTCTGTCAAATCTTGAACTAAAAGCTTTATTCCTTTAGTAAAAAAAATGTTTAATCACCATCGGCGCCCTAGTTTTGAATATTATGTTTAGGAGCTTCTCTATTGTGATTACCACGTAAAGTCAAAACAATATTTAGGTCGGAAATCATAGGTGAATCACACGAGTATGATTTTATCTTATCACATTGCTAAGTTACGTCTGATTTCCAAAGCCAATACTGTATAGGTGAAACTCGTTTATGTTTTAGGAATTGAAGAGAGAATTCAAATGGAATTGTGTTACTTATATGCTTAAAAATTGATCCAACATAAATATTGTCACTTTAGAAGGCATTCACTACTATTTAATTTTACTGATACCACTTACGTTTATTGAAAGACGTTTGAAGATGTTTATTAGGGGGGGGGGGGGGGTACAATTCCAGCCTGTACACTATCCATGCTACCTGTCCAAGAGGGGGTACAATTCCACCCCGTACACATTTGGTTATCTGATTGGGGGTACAATTCCAGGGGGGTACAAATCCGGGACGTACATCTTCTGCTCTTTTTCATTTGTAATATAATCATCCGGTTCACTGATCAATTGCTCACATTAAATAGATTAGGTTTTGTTAAAATCAAAGTGTACGGGGTGGAATTGTATCCCCCTAGGCGTGACGTCAAAATGACGTCGACAATCGGTGGGGGGTACAATTCCAGAGGGGTACAATTCCGGCGACCCATATTACCTATACAGTTGAACGTTGATAACAAGACTCATAGGTATTAGCATAGGTAGGGTAGGGCAGGGTAGGGGGGGGGGTATTAAAAATATGACTTGTTATCAAGGTTGACTTCTTATCGAGGCTTGCAATAATATGTGATTAGGGGTAAAACAATTTAGAGGGGATTTTCAAATGACCCTTGTTATCAAGGGTGACTTGTCTTTGAGGGTCTTGTTATCGAAGTTCTACTGTATAACTGTTTTTCTAGCCTAATATTAACTCTTGTGTTTTCAGGTGGCAAGCCGGATGACATCACTGTATTACTAGCAACAGTAGTAGGCTAGCCCCAAGACAACACTTCATTGTAAATATAGCTCCATTTTTTCATCTCATTTTCTGTAAATTATTTTTTTGTAAGACATTTCATTTCTACGAGTCCTCGAAAAATCAAATAGGTTTAAGATGAAATCGTTGTACAAGTCCGATGCGGTTAAAATTTTTCATTGTAATTTATTTCTGTCTCGCAATGATATTGTTCCTTTTGCTTTAAAAAAGCGATTCTTAATTTAGTTAAGAACTAACTTGCTGTTGTTTAATTTGTAGTCAACAAGATGGAACACCTAGGTTCAGTAATGGCTGATATGTGATAGGATGTGATTATTTTACTTTTAGGTGTTTTGTGTGAGAATTGTAAATTGTTACGGATTTGCAATTTTAAAACAACAGAACTGAGTAGTCGCGAGATGGATAGTCGGTGCTAGTGCTAGTCACCGGTCATCAATAAATTTATTCAATTTCTTTCAAGAGCATTATTTAACCCAATAAACATGCTTCAGGTTATGTTATACAGGACTCCTTCAGTACCTGTTCAGAAAGGTATTATATTTTTGCACTGTTTATAGAACTTGGTTTTTCCCCATGTTTGGTGTGGTAAGCATATAGTTTCCTTCATCCTCTGAATAAAAATATGTAATGTATGATTTGAGGTGAGACAAACCAATATAAATGTTTTTAAACTTTTGTTTTATTTTACAATATTAAATCTTAGGGTGGGTACATACATGTTGTGCTCAATAGAAAAAAACAAGAAACTTTGGTATCACAATCACTGGGGAGGTGGGGGTGGAGGGGGAGCATCAGCAGCGCCCCAGGCAAAGCCGCCGGGTCTGTCTTCTGGCATGGGCACATAGTCAGAGTCATCCGCTGGCGCATCAAACAGTGTCTTTCTGGAAATGATCAAAAATTTAGAGGTGTGTTAAATATAGACATGGAGTAAGGCAGGGCAGAATACAGCGATATGTAGGGAGGCATAGGGTAAAGCTAGGCCGAGAGTAGGGTACAGCTAGAGCCAGTTGGACAGGGTAGAGTACAGTTGGGGCTAGCAGGGCAGGGAAGGGTACAGCTAGGAACAGTGGGGCAGGGTAGGGCCCTACGTACCGCTGGGGCTAGCAGGGCAGGGTAGGTACAGCTAGGGGAGCAGGATAGGGTACAGCTAGGGCCAGTAGGGTAGGGTAGGGTACCTACCGCTGGGGCTAGCAGGGCAGGGTAGGTACAGCTAGGGCCAGTAGGGCAGGGTGGGCACAGCTAGGGCCAGTAGAGCAGGGTAGGTACAGCTAGGATAGCAGGGCAGGGTAGGTACAGCTAGGACCAGTAGGGCAGAGTAGGGTACCGCTGGGGCTAGCAGGGCAGGGTAGGGTACAGCTAGGGCCAGTAGGGCAGGGTAGGTACAGCTAGGACCAGTAGGGCAGGGTAGGGTACGGCTAGGGCTAGCAGCGCAGGGTGGGTACGGCTAGGGCTAGCAGCGCAGGGTGGGTACGGCTAGGGCTAGCAGCGCAGGGTAGGTACAGCTGGGCCAGTAGGGCAGGGTAGGTACAGCTAGGACCAGTAGGGCAGGGTAGGTACAGCTAGGACCAGTAGGGCAGGGTAGGGTACGGCTAGGGCTAGCAGGGCAGGGTTGGTACAGCTAGGGCCAGTAGAGCAGGGTAGGGTACCGCTGGGGCTAGCAGGGCAGGGTACAGCTAGGGGAGCAGGGTAGGGTACAGCTAGGGGAGCAGGGTAGGGTACAGCTAGGGGAGCAGGGTAGGGTACAGCTAGGGCCAGTAGGGCAGGGTAGGAACAGCTAGGGCCAGTAGGGCAGGGTAGGGTACAGCTAGGGCTAGCAGGGCAGGGTAGGTACAGCTAGGGAAGCAGGGTAGGGTACAGCTAGGGCCAGTAGGGCAGGGTAGGTACAGCTAGGGCCAGTAGGGCAGGGTAGGTACAGCTAGGGCCAGTAGGGCAGGGTAGGTACAGCTAGGCTAGCAGGGCAGGGTAGGGTACAGCTAGGGCCAGTAGGCCAGGGTAGGTACAGCTAGGATAGCAGGGCAGGGTAGGTACAGCTAGGATAGCAGGGCAGGGTAGGTACAGCTAGGATAGCAGGGCAGGGTAGGTACAGCTAGGACCAGTAGGGCAGGGTAGGGTACGGCTAGGGCCAGCAGGGCAGGGTAGTTACAGCTAGGGCCAGTAGGGCAGGGTAGGTACAGCTAGGGCCAGTAGGGCAGGGTAGGTACAGCTAGGGCCAGTAGGGCAGGGCAGGTACAGCTAGGGCCAGTAGGGCAGGGTAGGTACAGCTAGGACCAGTAGGGCAGGGTAGGGTTAGCAGGGCAGGGTAGGCACAGCTAGGGCCAGTAGATCAGGGTAGGGTACCGCTGGGGCTAGCAGGGCAGGGTAGGTACAGCTAGGGCCAGTAGGGCAGGGTAGGTACAGCTAGGGCCAGTAGGGCAGGGTAGGTACAGCTAGGGCCAGTAGGGCAGGGTAGGTACAGCTAGGCTAGCAACGCAGAGTAGGGTACAGCTAGGGCCAGCAGGGCAGGGTAGGTACAGCTAGGACCAGTAGGGCAGGGTAGGGTACGGCTAGGGCTAGCAGGGCAGGGTAGGTACAGCTAGTGCCAGTAGGGCAGGGTAGGTACAGCTAGGATAGCAGGGCAGGGTAGGTACAGCTAGGGCCAGTAGGGCAGGGTTGGCACAGCTAGGGCCAGTAGAGCAGGGTAGGGTACCGCTGGGGCTAGCAGGGCAGGGTAGGTACAGCTAGGGCCAGTAGGGCAGGGTAGGTACAGCTAGGGCAAGTAGGGCAGGGTAGGTACAGCTAGGCTAGCAGGGCAGGGTAGGGTACAGCTAGGGCCAGTAGGCCAGGGTAGGTACAGCTAGGATAGCAGGGCAGGGTAGGTACAGCTAGGACCAGTAGGGCAGGGTAGGGTACGGCTAGGGCTAGCAGGGCAGGGTGGTTACAGCTAGGGCCAGTAGGGCAGGGTAGGTACAGCTAGGGCCAGTAGGGCAGGGTAGGTACAGCTAGGCTAGCAGGGCAGGGTAGGGTACAGCTAGGGCCAGTAGGGCAGGATAGGTACAGCTAGGGCCAGTAGGGCAGGGTAGGTACAGCTAGGCTAGCAGGGCAGGGTAGGGTACAGCTAGGGCCAGTAGGGCAGGATAGGTACAGCTAGGGCCAGTAGGGCAGGGTAAGTACAGCTAGGCTAGCAGGGCAGGGTAGGTACAGCTAGGGCCAGTAGGGCAGGGTAGGTACAGCTAGGACCAGTAGGGCAGGGTAGGGTACCGCTGGGGCTAGCAGGGCAGGGTAGGGTAGGGTACAGCTAGGGCCAGTAGGGCAGGGTAGGATCAGCTAGGCTAGCAGGGCAGGGTAGGTACAGCTAGGGCCAGTAGGGCAGGGTAGGTTCAGCTAGGCTAGCAGGGCAGGGTAGGGTACAGTTAGGGCCAGTAGGGCAGCGTAGGTACAGCTATGCTAGCAGGGCAGGGTAGGGTGCAGCTGGGGCCAATAGGGTGGGGCAGCTGCTTGCCCTAGCTGTACCTACCCTGCCCTGCTAGCCCCAGCTGCACCCTACCCTGCCCTACTGGTCATAGCTGTACCCTACCCTGCCCTACTGGCCCCAGCTACCTAGCTGTACCTATCCTGACCTGCTAGCCCTAGCTGTACCTACCCTGCCCTGGTAGCCCTAGCTGTACCTACCCTGCCCTGCTAGCCCTAGCTGTACCCTACCCTGCCCTACTGGTCCTAGCTGTACCCTACCCTGCTCTGCTCGCCCTAGCTGTACCTACCCTGCCCTGCTAGCCCTAGCTGTACCTACCCTGCCCTGGTAGCCCTAGCTGTACCTACCCTGCCCTGCTAGCCCTAGCTGTACCCTACCCTGCCCTACTGGTCCTAGCTGTACCCTACCCTGCTCTGCTCGCCCTAGCTGTACCTACCCTGACCTGCTAGCCTAGCTGTACCTACCCTGCCCTGCTAGCCCTAGCTGTACCTACCCTGCCCTACTACCCTAGCTGTATCCTACCCTGCCCTACCGGCCCCAGCTGCACCCTACCCTGCCCTACTGGACCCAGCTGCATCCTACCCTGCCCTACTACCCTAGCTGTATCCTACCCTGCCCTACTGGCCCCAGCTGCACCTAACCTGCTCTGCTAGCCCTGGCTGTACCTGCCCTACCCTGCTAGCCCCAGCTGCACCCCACCCTGCCCGCTAGCCCCAGCTGCACCCTACCCTGCCCTGCTAGCCCTAGCTGTACCTACCCTGCCCTGGTAGCCCTAGCTGTACCTACCCTGCCCTGCTAGCCCTAGCTGTACCCTACCCTGCCCTACTGGTCCTAGCTGTACCCTACCCTGCTCTGCTCGCCCTAGCTGTACCTACCCTGACCTGCTAGCCTAGCTGTACCAACCCTGCCCTGCTAGCCCCAGCTGTACCTAACCTGCCCTACTTCCCTAGCTGTACCTACCCTGCCCTGCTAGCCCTAGCTGTACCTACCCTGCCCTGGTAGCCCTAGCTGTACCTACCCTGCCCTGCTAGCCCCAGCTGTACCTAACCTGCCCTACTTCCCTAGCTGTACCTACCCTGCCCTGCTAGCCCTAGCTGTACCTACCCTGCCCTGGTAGCCCTAGCTGTACCTACCCTGCCCTGCTAGCCCTAGCTGTACCCTACCCTGCCCTACTGGTCCTAGCTGTACCCTACCCTGCTCTGCTCGCCCTAGCTGTACCTACCCTGACCTGCTAGCCTAGCTGTACCTACCCTGCCCTGCTAGCCCTAGCTGTACCTACCCTGCCCTGGTAGCCCTAGCTGTACCTACCCTGCCCTGCTAGCCCCAGCTGCACCCTACCCTGCCCTGCTAGCCCTAGCTGTACCTACCCTGCCCTGGTAGCCCTAGCTGTACCTACCCTGCCCTGCTAGCCCTAGCTGTACCCTACCCTGCCCTACTGGTCCTAGCTGTACCCTACCCTGCTCTGCTCGCCCTAGCTGTACCTACCCTGACCTGCTAGCCTAGCTGTACCAACCCTGCCCTGCTAGCCCCAGCTGTACCTACCCTGCCCTACTTCCCTAGCTGTACCTACCCTGCCCTACTACCCTAGCTGTAGTGATGTAAAATTCCCGGGAATTTAATATCGAGGAAATATTCCCAGGGAATATTGCCGGCAATATTCCCAAAATTCATAAATTCCCGGGAATTTATTTTTAATCAGCAATGTAGGTTTAAAAACTGTTACTTAATAGTTAAAAGCCATAATTATAAGGTTAAATCAACCACAAAAACTGAAATATATTATAATACAGAGTTTGAATTGAAATAAATAACTGGGAATTTATAATTTTATATGCTAAATTGCTCAAATCAGTCACTGTGGTAGTTTGTTTTAAATAAAACAACAGAATTTAAAAAAAATTATAAATTCCCAATTTTTGGGAATATTCCCAGTTTTGGGCCAAAGAAATATTCCCGGCAATATTCCCATTTTATAAGTTCCCTCCCACTGGGAATATTCCCGGCCCACATCACTACCTAGCTGTATCCTACCCTGCCCTACTGGCCCCAGCTGCATCCTACCCTGCCCTCCTTTCCCCAGCTGCACCTACCCTGCTCTGCTAGCCCCAGCTGTACCCCGCCCTACCCTGCTAGCCCCAGCTGCACCCCACCCTGCCCTGCTAGCCCTAGCTGTACACTACCCTGCCCTACTGGTCCTAGCTGTACCCTACCCTGCTCTACTGGCCCTAGCTGTACCTACCCTGACCTGCAGGCCTAGCTGTACCTACCCTGCCCTGCTAGCCCTAGCTGTACCTACCCTGCCCTACTACCCTAGCTGTATCCTACCCTGCCCTACTGGCCCCAGCTGCACCCTACCCTGCCCTACTGGCCCCAGCTGCATCCTAACCTGCCCTACTACCCTAGCTGTATCCTACCCTGCCCTAATACCCTAGCTGTATCCTACCCATCCCCACTAGCCCTAGCTGTACCTACCCTGACCTGCTAGCCTAGCTGTACCTACCCTGCCCTGGTAGCCCTAGCTGTACCTACCCTGCCCTGCTAGCCCTAGCTGTACCCTACCCTGCCCTGCTGGCCCTAGCTGTACCTACCCTGACCTGCTAGCCTAGCTGTACCTACCCTGCCCTGCTAGCCCTAGCTGTATCCTACCCTGCCCTTCTACTAGCTGTACCTACCCTGCCCTGGTAGCCCTAGCTGTACCCTACCCTGCTCTGCTGGCCCTAGCTGTACCTACCCTGACCTGCTAGCCTAGCTGTACCTACCCTGCCCTACTACCCTAGCTGCACCCTACCCTGTCCTACTGGCCCCAGCTGCATCCTACCCTGCCCTACTACCCTAGCTGTATCCTACCCTGCCCTACTGGCCACAGCTGCACCTACCCTGCTCTGCTAGCCCTGGCTGTACCTGCCCTACCCTGCTAGCCCCAGCTGCACCCCACCCTGCCCGCTAGCCCCAGCTGTACCTACCCTGCCCTACTGGCCCCAGCTGCACCCTACCTGCCGTACTGGCCCCAGCTGCATCCTACCCTGCCCTACTACCCTAGCTGTACCTACCCTGACCTGCTAGCCTAGCTGTACCTACCCTGCGCTACTGGCCACAGCTGCACTTTACCCTGCGCTGCTAGCCTCAGCTGCACCCTACCCTGCCCTAGCTGTACCTACCCTCTACCCTGTCTGTACCCTGTACCACTTACAGCCCCAATATCCTTGCCCCCCCAGTACCCTACACTCCCCCCCCCCCTATAGCCCCAGTATCATCCTACCTATAGCCCCAATCACTGTCCCACCTATAGCCCCAGAATCATACATTGACCCACCTGTAGTCCCAATACTCTACACTGTCCCACTTATAGGCGCAATACCCTACACTGTCCCACCTATAGCCCCAGTACCCTTCACTGTCCCACCTATAGCCCCAATACCAACACTGTCCCACCGAGCCCCCACTGTCCCACTTATAGCCGCAATACCCTACACTGTCCTACCTATAGCCCCAGTACCCTTCACTGTCCCACCTATAGCCACAATACTCTACACTGTCCCACCTATATCCCCAGAATCATACACAGTCCCACCTATAGCCCCAGTCCTACACTGTCCCACCTATAGCTTCAATACCACACCGATAGCCCCAATACCCTACACTGAGTAAATTTGGCCCAAAAATTGTCTTGGTCCACAATACATAAATTTTAACATGCATCTATCAGTGATTTTGAATATAAGTGCTACTCACAAGATCTGAGGAGTCTTGAGAATTCTAAATCCTCCGTTTTGGTGTGGAAAGACATCCTCTAAGAAGTAGTAGCAATGTCCGACAATCATCCCCATAAGGTCCACCCAGATAGGGTTGCCCAGCAGAACTGAGAATCCCAGCAGCACCCAGGGTAGGTACGGAGCCTGGACATACATACATCACAGCTGGAGTTGCACAGTACATGCTGAATTACTTTAATACTGAATATACTTTAATACTTTAATGCTGAATTACACATATTAGGCCTATTTAGCAAAAAACCTCAGTTACATGGTCATTTATACTGATGATATCGAGTTTTCAACATATACAATAAAATATTGTAAACTTGTTACTTTGTGTTTGTATACTGCAGCTGGATCAGGATAGCTGACCTTTTTTATCATGAAAGTTAACTTAATGGGCACTCTCCAGTTATTGAATACATGAAACATAACATATTGATTCCATTGTTTTCAAAATGGCATTTAAAATTGTCTTTTTAGAATGTACATACAATTTAAATAGACTTATTTATTCTTTGTATTTTCTCTCTAAACATACTTGCTTTACAGGTTGCAGAATGCAAGCCAACGCTGTAAGCTAAAAATGTCAAAAATTGTCGCATTTACATTCAAAATAAAATAATGGTGCTCCAGAAATAATATTAAGTTGACCGCCATAATGGTAAATATTTTTAAAATTCAAATCCATCCCAAAAAAATTAAGGAGAGTAGGTACCCCGTAAAGTTAACTGTGATATAAATAGTCAGCTATTTACACACTAGCGTAGGCCCATGATGAACCGTGTAAACCATTTCGAGCAGTTCCAGGGAAACTTAGTCATTCACTAGCTATGTCATAAAACTAGGGTTTTTACCTATTCCACAAGGTCAATAACTCCACGTGACCTGACCATCCTCAATCGTTTCAATGGAACATTGACTGGTACACTCAAAAGACTGAGGAAATTATATATATCGGCTAATGTTAAAATCTCACCTCTCAAAAACAGTAAAAATTAATATGTTAATCTCACCTCTCAAAAACAGTAAAAATTAATATGTTAAGTCTGCTAACTACTATAGTACTTCAATCATGCTGAAAAGATAAGAGGTGTTATTTTACAGAATTACCTTCTCTCTGGGAATGTTAATTAACAGTTTGTGAAAAAATATTTTTAATTTTACAGAAGTCCTTGTATAGTAGTTAGTTAATGGTACAAATTTCATAATGGATTCTTAATTTCTTTTTGGGGGACATGGCAACAGGACCTGTGCACAACAGTTTTGGCCCAACAATATTTTTTTATTTAAAATCCACCACTAAATTTTTTTTAGTGGGTTACAATCTTAAAATATCACTTTTTTTCTTTGGGATCATTAAAAGTACGAAAAGTAATTTTAAAATTCAAAAATCCAACACATTTTAGAAGTAGGGTGTTTTTTTAAGGTGAAGTGTGATTTTCGAAAAACGCTTAAGAGTGTCTAGTAGAAAATAATTCCTGACTAAAAATTCTTTCAAATCTTTGCTGGCTCTTATCGCTTTTAAGCTATGACCGTTAAAAAAACAACATGTTTTTCTCAAAAAAGGGGTATTTAAGGGAAAATTTTTGGGAGGGTTGTGATTTGAAAGTGTAACTTTGGATTTTCTGGGTGGTTTAGACGGACCTCCATAAAAAATTTCAGATCCCTAGCTATTCTAGAAGTGGACCTGATCAGTTAGTCTAAAGTACGTGGTCTGATTCACCCTGTATAGCTGTTTAACAAACACAATTCTAGTAAAAGTTATTCTAAAAAAGAATATACTACGCAATAGAAAGACCAAACAGTAAATCTAAAAGTTAACATGAAGATTTAGTGCTACCAACAAGTATGAACTACTTCAGTGATAACCTCTCATTCGCTATACAAGAATGATAACATATGCATATTTGTGGGGTTAGAGCTGCTCCTAACATGTGGATTAAAATCCAATAGGATTTTTATTTGCCCTTTGGATTATAGATGTAGATAGCCTATGGTAAACCAAGGGTTAGGTCCGTCTCCTAAGCCGAGGTTACCGATGCTGGTCGTTATTACTGCTGTTAGAGTTCACACTCAATAAGAAGAAATGTTCTTTAATATTATTATGTAAACTTGAATAAAATTTGTATGATTTGCATGCAATTTTTTATGAAAATTTTAAAACAAAATATCACGTAGATGTATTCGTAATTTTGAATTATTTCTAAAATATTGCTATTTGAAAAAATAGCAGGAAATTAATTCTAAAACTATTTGTTGCTATTAGACTCCGTTAGTGCAGCAGTAATGAAGGATTGGACGCAGCAAAGGTGAAAAATGCCCGTTTTGAGACACAACACCAACTCAGAGAGCCCTCAGTGTTACAATTCAAGTTCTATTAATACAATTTAAACTACAGAATATAATGTTATAAAACTGTTAAAACCCACATTGAAATTAAGGATCCCGAAGAAGCTCATTCTTGTGAATGGATTCCTTCTTGACCAAATGTAGACAAGCATTATCGTAAATGCTTGGCCGAGAAACAACAAGTTGATGAAAAATGCAAAAATCTGTTGACAGGTTAAGGAATGGGATATAGTTTGACTAAGTTTTCAAAACCTACTAATTGCTCAACAAAAATATAAATTAAAATAAATTTGTAGATTGTGTCAAACGCAGTTGAAAAGAACTACTTTGTTAAGTTCAAGCAGTATTTGAACATATGATCATTTTTTAGTTTTAGTTTCAAATTATAAAATTGTGGCCTACAATTTTCATGAATTGTAGCCTCTACTTTAATAATCTATGGCTCACTGTCGAGTAAAATGTTTAAAGCTCTATTATTGGTAATTCAAAAGTTTTGTTTTTCTAGATGCTCTGACTTTTATTTGGTAAAGGGGGGCAGGCTTGTACCAACCCTAGCTTTGTTATAGTAATGAATGCCAATTAAAAGGATACAATCATGCATACACCTCCAAATAAAAACATGAGAACGAAATCAGCTGTCTTTCCTCTGAAAGATCCTTCCTCCAACATTCTGCAGTAGCGGTACGTGAAGATCATGTTGAAGATGAAATTGAACCCGATGGTCCCGAAGAACAAAAATGTCGTTACAAGCCTCCAAACCTAAAAAAGGAAATAGTTACATTAGGTACTACCTACCTCTACAAGTTACAAAATAAATATTTTTTAGCTCTTACGGTAGGATATTGGCTTTACAAACCAGTACCTAAAAATCTTAAGAGTCCCTGGAGGCCAGCGGCCATCTTGGATTTTCCCGCCATAAAAGCAATCTTTTTTGTCATTTTAAAACAGCTAGAGTTATTTTATTATCTCAAAATATTTTTTTTCAAATAAGTTACCAAAATGATTGTAATTTATTGTGGGGAAATTGTTTTATGAGTTAAGGCTAGGGATCCCAGACGTCCTCTTTTTGGGTACAAAAAAAACCTCCGGGGGGATTTTTGGCAATCATTTCAAATGTCCGGGATTTTGAATTTGTGAGAGATAAAAAAATATTTCTGCAAGTATTAATATTAGCAATCAGCTTTTATAAGAAATCGTCATCATAACATTAAACTAAGTTAAAATACTACACTTTAATAATATCTTACGTATAAAAGTGTCATTTCCTCTTTCTTAAGGTCAAATTTCGTGTATAACGTACGCTAGAAACCATTGGAAATACTGTAGAACCAAACGGAACGGAAGGCGAACAATGGGTTTCCTGCTTTGCCTGACTCCGCTGACTGTAAACTCTGCTCACTAGTAGCCAGTTTGCCAGGCCAGTAGCATACTAGCGACCTTCGGCCCGGACCCCAACCCCAAAAAATATTTTATATATAGATAAACTATTATACCAGGGGAACTTTAATAATTTTTATTGCAAATCGTTCTACCAAATTGATTTCATTGTAGTCTTTACACTTGTGTCAAACGAATGGACTAATTACAAACTCTAACCCAAACCTCGGGATCGTTCGAGTCTGACAATTTTTTGTACATTATGAATAGTAGGGAAGATTGGCAGACGACGGACGCTTTCAGCGATATACGGCATCGGCAGTGTAAAGAAAAGAAGTTGTATCAAAGTCCAAGCTTGAAGGGTAATTGAATATTAATTTATCTAAACTAGGTCCTCAAAATAGCTTAAAAACTACTAATTTTAGCACGTTATTTCCAAATTTTCCCCTTTATTTCCAAAAAGCCCCCCGGTGACCCCCCCAAAATATATGTCTAGGACCGCCCTTGGTGAGTAATTTTGTCCTCTTTTTTGATGGAGGGTCCCTGGGAACCCTAGTTAAGGCTCCATGGACTTTTAAGTATTTAATCAATTTTAAGTAGTCAACTACAACTCAACAGGTTTGCACTTTATATGTAACGAAAATTCAACACCTAAACCACCCCGATTATTCCCTGGTCTTCAAGACTGAGAAGAGGAGCAAGAAAACATTATATTACATAAATTAGAGATAGCTCAATCGTCCAAACTAATGCTGTATGCAAACCGCCATTGAGTTGAGTCCAAATGATTATTAATGATCAAATAATAATACTTTTATACTATGTTTTTTTAGAAGACAAAAATCTGCAATGTAAATTTTACATCCGCCTTTCCCGAAGAAGCACAGGATATCTAGGTGTCAACTGTGGGAGGCTTAATTAAATCTCAGTCAACTATAAAATAGTGACGCCAGACTTTAAATCACTGCCCTAACCTGCGGGCCAGATTTTTTTTATTTTGGACCAAGCTTATTGAACTAAACATACCCATAGACCAATCTTTTCTATTAATTTTTCTGATCAATTAGAATCCAATTTATTTACATTAAATTTCAAATAAACTTGCAATCATATATTTTATTTAATTACAGTAGTTTTGCTTTCTGGTTAATCACTTACTTTGTTGTATCTATTGATGGGTTTCCATTAGTAGTATGTCAATTTTTGTCCATGATATAAAACACAATAAATGTTATAATAAACACACACATCTCACTTGAAGAGGACTGGGTCAACTAAAGCATCAATGCCCATAGAAGTTTATGTCTAAAAAAAGGCTGCTAGTTTTATGGTAAAAATCACCCACATGGTAAACACTGGAACAGCATATAATATAAGGGCTATTCCATCAGACCTACAACTAACAACCAAATAAACCTTAAATTTGGGATGTTGGTGTCAACAATAGTCCACGAAAAATCCTTACGTCAACCATAGTTGACGCTGGTCTGTGGTGAAGGAATTTTTTAACATGTCGGTACCGGTAGCGAAAATGTTAAACCAGCACTGCTAACAACTCATACAAACATATGCATTATCAGTTCTACTATTAAGAACAACTAGGGCATCTGTTGCTTGAGCAATTGCAAAGTATTACATTTTTTTAGTTATTTTTTAGTTTCTTGCAATTGGTAATAGCCTACCGGTATCTAAATGAACAACTGTTAATAAAGCAGAAAACAAAACACAAACATGGGATTTATTGCTGAGATTTTGAATAGTTATAATGGTTTAAATACCTGCATTCAGTAATCCAAAATGTTGCTTGTGGCAACTATAGTTTCGATTCACAGGGAATCATCTTCAGGCCGTACAAGGCGTCGTTATTCATCTCCGTGTATGAAGGTCGTCATTTAATAAATAAATACATAGAACACGAAAACGCACATTGAAAGACGAACATTTAACATTAAAAATACCGAGTACTCTGAAACACGAGACAGGTGACGCGACCGGTTGGAAGTTGTAGCTCAAACTCGGTTCATTTTGGATTACTGAATGCAGGTATTTAAACCATTATAATTATTCAAACCTAACACGGAGGCTAACAACTCTTGAAAATGAAATTTTGAATAGAATTGAACAAGCAGGTAATATTAGTCAGTTAAATTTGGTACTACTGTACGTAGTAACAAAATTTAAAGGAGAAATAGACATTAAAAGCCACACAAAATTGGTACCGGTAAGTCTATATATAATAAAAGCAGAGGGAAAGATACTTTTACGACCATGTTATAATAGGTAACATAGTCTTAGGCCCGGTTCACACGAGAGAAAAATCAAGCGAGCAAGTTGCAACTAGAATTGTCGCGGCCCAGCGACATACCAGCTCACTCGGCGATTATTCTACTGACTAGATCGCCTGGCATGACGTAAACAAATGAGCATTGACAACCGATGTTCTACATTGATGTTTTGCTATCGATATTCCAGGTTTTTAACACCAATGGTAAGTGACCGATGTTTTTGTTGCATAGATAACTTGGACAATAATAATGGTTTTTTGACAATTATTATGTTTTACTGCAGCTAAAATAATGAAATTAAGATAATAATAACAAATTAAACTATGTGAAGGCAAAAATCTAAGAAACGAGCATGCATGAGTGCACACTAAAATGCTTGGACTTAAAATATGCTAGGATCCAACCATTCATCAGGGGTAGCAGCCTACCGCACGAATACTGTGAGCCAAAATAATTTCAAGCTTGGATGTTGTTGTGGTAACAACGTTGAACAGCCATTTGATCCAGTTCTGAGTACAAGTAAGTGAGGGTTTGTGAATCATTTACGAGAACACGTCTGTGGAAACCTATAAAGTCGCGTTTACACCAAAGTTGACAACCAGGTTTCAACTAGTTTCGGAAACTTGTTGCTTTTTCTACAAAATGCAGCGACTTTTTCTGTCGTCAACTAGTGGAGCAACAAGTTTTCCACTAAATTTTGGTTTCCCGCAGAGAGTCGGTAAGGACCAAAGAAAGTTGACAACAAAAAGTTGAAGTAGAACGACGTGTTTCTATGCGCTTTGCGCAGGCAACTTGTTGAAAACGAGTGGAGAACTATCCCTCCTCCTATATTGTATACTTATTGTAAATCTGTATTATTGAATTATTCTAATTATTATAATAGGGTACGGTAAATGTTAGCTATCTTTCTTTAGGCCTAATAACTCTGGATGTGTAGTACAGAGCTAAAGATTTTGATAACAATTTGTTTTTAGGTACTAATCCATAATATCTCCAGGTATTTTTGAATTTTAAATACGGCTCAATTACTTTTTTATCACTAGAAACTAGATTTTTACCTGAAAATGGTTAAAAATAGTTTGTCGTCAATAAAATAAATAATGAGCTTGTATTATTTAAATTTTTTTTTGTATGTTTGACCTACTATTTCAACAGTGAAAAAACAGGCTGGAGTTACATAAATCAATAGGTAACTCAGTTCATGATAAACTAAACTTTACCTTACCTTGATAAACTAACAGCAAAGGAGACTTAATACATAAATTTACGAACTCGCTTTCTTCCCCAAATGGCTCACGAAACAGGATTTTGAGATATTACGTTAGGGTTGCTTAGGTTAGAACAACATTTTATTACATATCATAGTTTAGCAAGGGTGAAGCTATTACCTTATCAGGGCAAAGTTGGACTTAATAGCAAAGTTAATAACTGACCTGTCCGCAAAGGTCGATGCTCGGTTGTATTTTTAAATGCCTTTGGAAATATCTGTATTTTTAAGTGTACATTAATTAACTAACTTAATGGACCTTTTTGCTTCTATTTTTTTTCACTTTTTAGTTACAATGATGGAGCAAGCAAAAATGTTCACTAAAAAAACTAAAAACTATAGATTAGCTACAATGATTGATTGGCTAATTTTTATAAATGGTCACACAGTTATATTATCTAGGTTTTTAGTGCTATAGAATCATTATAGGTTCGCAGTTAATAAGTTATGTTACTTTAGCTGGGTACCCTCCTCACTCTAACTTGAAATTGAAATCCTAACTCTAAATCATATTTTCATATTTTTCGTGACATTGATAAGGGTTCAGAGTCTTGGGTTAGGTGAAGGCGGAATCTAGGACATTGTAGTAAAGATAATCTAGCCAAATCAAGTGTTAATTTTAGGCGTAGTTATACCAGCCACTAAAAGCCATCAGAAAATTTAGCTGAGGAGTGTTTTTATTATATTGAATTTATTTTTGCCTGAGTGGGTAAGATTTGAGTGTCACCCTGTGCATTTTGCCTTCTTATGAATCCATCTTCTTATCACTAATACTATAGTCTATATTTTTAAAAATATGCACATAGGTACATAAAATAGTATAGAAATCGCGTTGATCACAGGCGGAGTGACGACAAGAGAAATTACAGCTTGGATGAACAAATCAAAAAGATAAGAACATAATAACATCCATAGGCATTAAAAACGGATACAAGCCTGATAAAATAATCTACACTATAATGAACATGATTAAAAGAAAACAAAAACCAGTACAGTTGCCAAAAATAACAACCAGACAGATATCAACCCACCAAGATACGTATCCATCAACTATACGGGTAAAATCAGTAGAGTTTTAAAAAGCCTGATGCACATACCTGCCTACAAAGTTGTAAAACCTAACACCATTCCAAATTACATAATTTCTGTGTGTAAATTTCCTTTAAACCTCCATGTAACAACCAATACATAGGCTAGACCAACAATCAACAGACAATTTATCAACAATTAGAGAACATAATTAGTCATCATAACTTCACAAAAATGGTAGCCAAACACCTAGAACAAAATCCAGCTCACACAATAACTTTTTCTGATTCCCTCACGATTCTGAAGCCAAAGTACAAGAAAGCTACCAAATATACAGATGTGTAGTAAATGGATCGAAAAAAAAAGAAAACTAACCAGCTCTACAAATTTCAAATCAATAAAAGAGACTGAAACTAACCAAAACTGGAAACACAGCAACAAACCGGCAACACAACATAGATATGCACCAACCATAAACCAGCAAAGTCCAAACTACCCTCAACTGTTGCAGCCCAAATGCCAAAAACTCCAGTGGAAGAAAGACCTTTCGCTGGTGACTCCACCGCGTGTCTAACACGTTGTCCGATCGACCCGACTGCGGTACTAGTGACAGCGTATGTGTACAAATTTGTATATATATAGACTATAGTTTTAGTGACAAGAAGATAAATTCACAAGACCCACGCAAAGTAGCAAAATTAATAGGGAAACATAAAATTCTTACATAAAAGAGCTCAACATAGGTACATCTACTAATATAGTTAATTTAAGTAACTGCGATGACAAACACAAAACAGCTTTTTAATTGTTGCAATCACAGAAATCATCTGCAAAGATGCACAATTATGATATCCCTGCAACTCGGCTACTCCTGATACTGTAGGCGATCTGTTACGATTTTGCAGTGATCGCTGAAGATTAGGATGATTATCTCCCTGCTACCATAGACCCCGATAACATAGGCATAATTTAAACACTATTATCATTTAGTTTGACAAATAGGCCTACTACCTAACACTTATGACCAGACACCCTTTATATCGATAAATTAAATTTATGTTTATTCTTAATACACCCCCATGACTTTCAGGTTGTTTTCACCCCCTCCCACCACTCTTAAATAGTGATGTGCGTATCGATACGTATCGATACAGAAATCGATACAAGGACCGCAAAATATCGATATTTTGTATCGATACGTGGGAGTGTATCGATATGCCCGTATCAATACACCTATAGCCAATATCGTATTGTTTATTTATTCATATAAATCTTATTTTTAAGGTAAGAAATTTGTCTTCCTATCTTCCTCCCCTCAAAAGTAATAGTGGAAATTTGATATTTTACCCTACCATCCTCAAAAACACTGATAAAACATGTATTTTCAGCTATGTTTTGCAAATAACCTCAAAACTAGGGCCACCATTAATGGAATTGGGGTCACTCATTTTCCATATTATATTATTTGATGTGTAAGTGGCATACCCTCCATCATTATAAGTACCTTTTGGTTCAATTAATTATTCCTGTGTAAAAAAAAAGGAAAACAATAACAAAATGTTTTCCAATTTTGAGGTTTTACCGGAATTTGAAGGTTATGTATGCGAGTTTGATACAAATAAAAAGACACAGGAAGGAAACGGTAAGATTTTCTGAGGTAAGATTACATGCACTAAACCCTCTTTACAAGCGTATAAGTAACATAGTATTATTTGTCTATGCAGCTTGTATATTTGAGTTATTTAAATTTTTTAAAATTTTATAAATAAACAATACGATACGATATTTTATCCGATACGGGTAAAAATCGATACATGAGGATATGATACGATACACGTATCGATACACCACGTTCCGATACGTATCGATACATTGACCCGTATCGCACATCACTACTCTTAAAACGATTAAAGTATAAACATACCTGTTAAAACAGCTTAACCAGCAACGTGAATGTTAATCAAACTTTAGTACTCACCTGCCATTGTTTTAATATTAGAATCGGGTTGAAGTATAGCTGAAAAGGAGACACCAGGTCCAATTGCTGAAACATACAAAAAGATTCAAGGTACAAAGGCTAATCGTTGAAACATGATTAAATTAAACTTTAGTTAGTTTTTTAATGGGCTTGAACAGAACAATGAAATGTAGCTATCAGACTAGGCTACACCATTGTTCCCAGAGGAATAAAGCCCTGTTTACACGACCCGATTTAGGGAGCCTGAATCGGGCCCAATCAATATCGGCCCTGAAATCAGATCGTGTAAACACGTGCTCCTGGTCACGATTTGGCTGGCCATCAGGTAGGGAGGTCGGGAAGGATTTCCATCAGATTTAGGGAGGAAGGGTGGGGATAGCGCACTTCCGCTAACGGATGTGAATTCCAAAGCTCTTCACCAGGCAATTCTCTCAGTACAACCTTGATATGTGTCTGAGTTGTCTTTCAAGTTTTGTTTGTGGTTTTGAGATGACGGAATCTACAGAAGGAAATATCGTAATGTACAAATCTTACAATATGTTGTGGGACACTTCTCAGATTTATATTTACACTTGAAAAAACTTCCAAAAAACAAACCCCAACAATGCGAGATGCCATGCTTGGTAACAATATTTTCTTTAGCCCTGCAGTAAAGAAGTTATTAATAAATCCCTTTTAAATTAAAATAAGCTCAGCTAATCTAACCTAACCTAACCCAACCTCACTCTTAAATGTTCAAAAATTCCATTTAATGACAGAAAAGACATGCGAGGATGATAGGTCGGACTTTATGCGGATTCGTGTCTGTATTAAGTCCTTTGAAGATAGGTGAGATTAGGCAAGGTAAAGTTTAGGTTATAATGAACCGACTCATTAATTTAGGTTAACTCCTTTAGGTTTTTGCACAATTGAAATACCTAGTGGGTGAAACAAAAATTTTTATATTGTTATTTCAGTGTGTTTCACCCACTATTTCAATTGGGCAGAAACAGTCTGGAGGTAACGTAAATTAATAGCCTAAGTCGGTTCATTATAGGTAACCTAAACTTTACCTTCCTAATCTAACTCAACCTAACTTCAAAACACTTAATACAGTCACGAATCCGCATATAAAATCCGACCTACCTTCTCCACATGCCTAAATAAGAGCTGAGCACTTAGTTTCAAAACCAATTGATTTTCATTCTGCATTAAGTCGAGTATAAACAGCTGTTTGCTCTCTTCACTCAGTCCTCAGCCCACATACGGACCCGTTCATACCACGCCATATTACCATCAGTACCGCTAAATTAAACTTAGATTCGTAATTTTAATCTTCGTTTTACATCCACTTAGGAATCTCTCCGACCCAAACTGATTGAATTTTTGGATTCAGCGTGAAAAAAAATCTGTAATTAGTCATCTAAAAATTACATCATATCCCATTGTTGACCTTATTAAATAATTGCCTAATCGGTATATCGAATAATCTACATATCGATATTTTTCATTCAAATGAGTGTAGGACAGATACTAAAGTGCAGCCAATTAGCCTATTACGATTGATTTAAGCAATGAAGTTCTGTCCAATATTTTGAAGCTTCATAAAAGAGCACATTTTCTTTTACTGTTTTGAACAATAAAATGACCGTAAACTTGTATTTGGCCATGTGCCAAATTGAGTTATCTGAGGAGTGAGTGCTGACCAGGGGGCTCTCAACTTTTACCTAAAAAGGCCTGATCGATCTTCCAGAAACAGAATCAACTAAGCCTAAGTTTAGGCCTTGATCATATTAAAAACCCTAAATTAACTTAATTTAGAGATGATATGAACAAAAATCAGTAAGAATAGGCATACAAGTAGGCCAAAATGAACCAAGTAGAATTACTCATTGGACATTCGGGGTACAGTTTCTTAACTGGGCTAAACTTACGCTAATATCGATTGAAACTATCGATTCGATTCGTAAACCTTCATGCGATTTTTCCACCATCAGCAAGTTTGGTTGGTTAGGTTAGGTTATGATAGTTTTATTTTATAATAGATATATATAAAAATATTGATTATTAATCAATATTTTCAATTCGATAGCTTCAATCAATATTAGCATAGCCCAGTTAAGAAACTGTACCCGAACTTCGTTTTATAAGTTCCTTAACTTATCTTGTGTAGGATGGATAAGTTATCATTCTAAGTTAGTCTAGGCTAAATATTAACATAAATAATAACTATAAAAGTTACTATTTATCAGATCCATTTACTTAAATGAGACTTACACATTCAACTGTCCTAAATTTACTAGGCCCTACAAATTAGGTAAGTTGTTAAAGCCTATACTTACGACTGCTAAGGTTGTGATTACGCATGCCGTTGTATATGCTCTAGTGACAACTGGTATTTGTTGGTACTCTTGACGTAAAAAGGTATGGTATTCCATTATCAAACGAATAAATTAACATATCACAATAATTATGCTGATGAAGGAAAATTTCTAATACTTTTAGAGGTTAACATTCGTTAAATGTGTCAGAGAATTTTCACTACATCACAAACCATATAAAAAAAATCATAAGGTAAAAATATTTCGGGTAAGAAACTAGAATAAGTATCACTTCTTTTGGAATGGGCACTAATTAATTAATTTGTACATAACACGTCCATAAACAATTATGAATCACACATACACAGCACAGCAGTTTTGTTGTTGAATGTTGATGACAAATTGAAAAAAAAACCAAAACACAGCCAACTGTAGACAGCTGATTGGTTAGTGTACTCATAGAGAATTATTATAGCATAGAGAATAAGCAAGGGAGTATGTTTTATCTATGATTATAGTTTCATGCTCTCATATCGGTATAAAATATAAGTAATACGTTGCAATACTTCCCTTCGGTATACCAGGGTATAAATTGACCTAAATAAACGTAATTTTAAATTATGTTGTACCATCACCCCATTCCCGTTTTGGACCGTGGTTGTGGTTACACTTAACCATTGATTTAATTGAACAAATTGTATACTACTGCACTTTATTGTAAAATGGCGCATTGCCATAAATAAATATAAACAATTAATCAACTTAGTGACAGTGATATAAAATTTTTCTTCAGTTACGTGTATAAAAATAGGGTTAACTAATTTTATTTATATAGATGATTCCATAGATTAAATTATTTTTCAAGGATTTAATTACAATCTCTGATGATACTGTTAATTAAAATGACGACCATACGAAAGTAGGTATTTTAAGCCATATATGAATGAAGATTTGTTGATTCTGCCATAGATAAAACATAATGTTTTATCTATGATTCTGCTTAAGATCTATACAATGATTTCTGTCATTTTTTTGTTGGAGCTCTCGATTCTTCTTAAGACCTGGGATATGATGTGCTTTTGCTTGGTCTGCTAGCATAAATAATGTATAATTAATGTGCATATTTTTAATTTTAACTAGGTGATTGGGGGGGGTCCTACCTACATACATAAAGCAATGAGCCGATTCCTAGTTGGTACCAGCATGATAGTCAACCATATATCACCAGTACCAATTCAAGTATTACCGTTAAATAACACAGAGCATAGGTTAAATAAGTAACAAAAAATGTCACTTACTTTGCTATTTTACTCATCGTAATAGTTGCCGAACAAAAATATTATTCACTGCGACCAGGATCCTATAACGAAATAAAAAGTTACAACAACTCAAACTAACTGAGAGTATTTTTAATCTATGCTCGATCACCCCTCCCATCTCCGACCGCCTGACCGAGCGCCATCGAACTTCAAATTTTAAGAAGAGTCATATGTTTTTTGTTTGTTTTGTAGTTCGAGTAGTTGTCGTCTGTTAACCCAAAACGTAACACTAACACCACAAACAAACCCAAATCAACCCTAGTCCCTACCCAAACCCTGATTATCATTTTTAACAATTAAGTTTATAATATTGAACGTAAACAAGCTAAACTGGTTTGCGTTCTATGTGATATTGAGACTCTTTGGCTATTTATGTAAGTTAGTATAACAATGATATAACCTAATTCCTTACGTATTCAGGTAATCAACAATCCATGCACCCAGTAGTAAAATTAGATAGGCCCTATTAAGCCTACTGCCAGATACTACAAACAATTAAGTATGTTATGATCTAGGTTAATTTGGTAGTCCATTAATTAAAGCTTCCATTTTAGATTTGTTTTCACAAGAATTTAGACAAGCAACAGCTAGATAAATATAAATACCAATATTAAATAAGGATTATGTAGGTGGGTTACAGGTTACACTTCCATACTTATCTGTTGGCACAAACAACCGAATGAAAATATAGATCAATATATTGAATTAAACAATTGAATAATCAATATTACTCATTCGGTTGTTTGTGCCAACAGATATATAAGTGTAAGTTACACTGTAGGCGTACATTTGTAATACTTGAAGATAAGATTCCCCCGCATTAGATGTAAAGGTGAAACTTTGATGCAGCCTCGCAGAGAACCTACAATATATTTTCAGAGGAAATTTTAGTTTGATATTTACCTATATCATATCACAAAGACTATATTTTTTATGGGATATGATTGGGTACAGTTTCTTAACTGGGCCACGCTAATATCGATTGAAACTATCGATTGAAAACATTGATTACTAATCGCTATTTTTATAATTATTGATTACTGGTACCTATATGTTTATAGTAATGATATTTATGATAATATCAACCAAGGCAACTTGTATGAAAACCAAAGTCAATGTGGACAAATTTACAAAGTCTTCTATTTGTTTCAACACAAGTTTCATCAACTTAAAACTAGCCGTCCTAGTCATAATACCACTGCGCACTGTAAAAGAGTGGTTGACGTTACCCTACAAGAATATTATTTAAGGAGAAGATCAATATTTATTTATAATATATATTTAAATCAATTGAAATATTTTGATCAATGTTAACTAATATAATATTTCATTGGGTAATATTGTATGTTTCTGCGGTACTTTACCCAAAACTTTGAAATCACACTCCAATGGATTATCAAGCCATCAATGATTCTATCAATAGCCGAAGACTACGGTAATTAATGAAAAAGTCCAATACACAAACTTCCTGTACCGATCCATAGTACAAAGCGGTCAGATATCAAAGTTTTGCTGATCTATGTAATTTAGTATGTACAAATATTTAATCACAATTATCATGTAGGCCTACCAATGAGAATTGAGAATTATTGTGCATGGGGAGAGAGGTGAAATATTTCTGATAATGGATTCCAATAGTCTATTCATATTTAGTTTGAAATTAAACTACAGAATGTAAACAAGCCACTAACATACTAAATTTATTGAGACTAACAAACTATTCACAGGTTGGGGATGGAGCCTCCAAAGAAGAAACAAAAACTATCCTGGAATAAAATTAAAAAAGAAGGGCTGGATTTGGATTACAACCAAAGATTCTTAACTAAACACGAAGCTGATGACCTTCTGGAATGGTTTGAAAAAAACGTTGAATATTTTTCTGGAGATTTGGCTCAGGTCAAAGTTTTTGGCAAGTGGCACAAAATCCCTCGCAAACAGGTTGGCAAAATTTATTTAATAAAACAGGTGGAATTACCCTGGTTTTCTTTACTTATATTAATTTAGTAAAGTATGTCGTATTTTTGGTCTTTTTTAAAATCTTTTTAAAAGTAATAGGCCTATGAAGCTTTTACTCATCTTGTTGGCCAAAATCCAAAATACAAATTGCTAAAAAAGTTGTAGTTTTAGTTTTATCCCAATAAAATAATGTAATATGAATGTTAACTTGTTAATTTTTCCGAGAAAGGCTTAATTGAATGTTAATTTTTATTGTTGTGAGATAATCAAAACATACAATCATATTTAAAATAATTAAAACCTTTTGACATCTAGTAAGGTGCTTTGAGGTAAAAGCTTTTAGGATTAGCTGGTTAGCTAGGCCTACATTTAAATATTCTGTTTAATACATGTTATCATGTATATAGGTTTCATATGGAGAAGCAGGTCTGTCTTATAAATTCTCCGGGAATACCGTCCCAGCACTACCATGGCCTGATCAACTGGCCAGTCTCAGGGATCGATTGAATGAAGCGACATCAAACAAGTTCAACTTTGTTTTAGTGAATCGGTAAGTTTTTAAAGGAATGGATTTTTAAAAATCAGTAGCCTAGAAAATGTTTCTAGAAGTACTTAAAAGAGCTTCAGATTACATTATTATCAAGAATGCTGCAGACATTTTCCATCAGGATTAAAAAAAAACAAAGTTTTCAAAAAATCTTTAGGTCAAGAATGTGATGACTCAGGTGAGGATGTAGCTAAAATTGGTATTAAAAGCCAGTTGAAGCTGGAAAATCTGAAATAACCGAACAAAGTAGCCAAAACAGAATATAAAAAAAGGTCGTTCGATTAAAACAGAATAATAGTAAACATTTAAACCATGAGAATAAACAATGCTCAAACCAGAGTGAAAAATTAATGTTTGAAGCAAGGGCAACGAGATCCAGAAAAATTTAGTTCAACCAAAACCTAAAGCAAACAACATGGTAAAAATATATTACCCTACAAAAATACACAGTCAAGTTATGTTTTCAAAGCTTATTGGTTATGATCGACACATCAAAACTACTATTTAATACCTACAATAGGATTTTCTCTGTAAGACCTCTTTTTCACCCTTAACCGATTGTTACAATTTGGTACATCCATATCACTTGGTCAAACCAGAGATTGTGTGTTTCAGTTACAAGGATGGCAATGGGCTACCTCAGGGATGACGAAGCTGACTTGGACCAAACTGCTCTGATAGCATCCATATCACTTGGTCAAACCAGAAATTTTATGTTTCAGTTACAAGGATGGCAATGATCACATGGGCTACCACAGGGATGACGAAGCTGACTTGGACCAAACTGCTCCGATAGCATCCATATCACTTGGTCAAACCAGAAATTTTATGTTTCAGTTACAAGGATGGCAATGATCACATGGGCTACCACAGGGATAATGAAGCTGACTTGGACCAAACTGCTCTGATAGCGTCCATATCACTTGGTCAAACCAGAGATTTTATGTTTCAGTTACAAGGATGGCAATGATCACATGGGCTACCACAGGGATGACTAAGCTGACTTGGACCAAACTGCTCCGATAGCATCCATATCACTTGGTCAAACCAGAGATTTTATGTTTCAGTTACAAGGATGGCAATGATCACATGGGCTACCACAGGGATGAAGAAGCTGACTTGGACCAAACTGTTCCGATAGCGTCCATATCACTTGGTCAAACCAGAGATTGTGTGTTTCAGTTACAAGGATGGCAATGATCACATGGGCTACCACAGGGATGATGAAGCTGACTTGGAACAAACTGCTCTGATAGCATCCATATCACTTAGACAAACCGGAGATTTTATGTTTCAGTTACAAGGATGGCAATGATCACATGGGCTACCACAGGGATGATGAAGCTGACTTGGAACAAACTGCTCTGATAGCATCCATATCACTTGGTCAAACCAGAGATTGTGTGTTTCAGTTACAAGGATGGCAATGATCACATGGGCTACCACAGGGATAATGAAGCTGACTTGGATCAAACTGCTCTGATAGCATCCATATCACTTGGTCAAACCAGAGATTGTGTGTTTCAGTTACAAGGATGGCAATGATCACATGGGCTACCACAGGGATAATGAAGCTGACTTGGATCAAACTGCTCTGATAGCATCCATATCACTTGGTCAAACCAGAGATTGTGTGTTTCAGTTACAAGGATGGCAATGATCACATGGGCTACCACAGGGATAATGAAGCTGACTTGGAACAAACTGCTCTGATAGCATCCATATCACTTGGTCAAACCAGAGATTGTGTGTTTCAGTTACAAGGATGGCAATGATCACATGGGCTACCACAGGGATAATGAAGCTGACTTGGAACAAACTGCTCTGATAGCATCCATATCACTTGGTCAAACCAGAGATTTTATGTTTCAGTTACAAGGATGGCAATGATCACATGGGCTACCACAGGGATAATGAAGCTGACTTGGATCAAACTGCTCTGATAGCATCCATATCACTTGGTCAAACCAGAGATTGTGTGTTTCAGTTACAAGGATGGCAATGATCACATGGGCTACCACAGGGATGACGAAGCTGACTTGGACCAAACTGCTCCGATAGCGTCCATATCACTTGGACAAACCAGAGATTTTGTGTTTCAACATGCTGATGCTCGTCGTGTAGGTAATGTTATTAATACTGTCACTATCTCATCAACCCAGATAGGCTACTAAGTATGGGAACTTGAAAGAAAACAACCTTACAAATGTTTTAAACATTCTAAAGGGTTTTTAAAGCACTAGAGTTAGTTTACTGGAGTAAACTATTTGAGGGCTATCCAGGGACAATTAACACAAAAATTTTTTCATAACACAGTAGACCCTTAACCGACCTCGCATTTGCTCTGTTCAACCAACTGTTTCCTAATTTCTTTTATTTATCATACCTGACTTTATTTACATTAATTTTGTTTTGTTTCACTGAAAAAGCTAACTTACAAGAATTTGGTACAGATTAAAAATATGTCTTAAAACATAAAACAGCTTTCTTTTCATAGTACATAGCAGCGTTAACCGATAATCAGATTATCCGCCCTCACTCATAAAATATCACAGTTGGTTTTAATCGACCTTGTTTTGAGAGCAGTTTCGGTTTAAGAATCTCGGCATTTCCACTCCCACGTACGGAGATGGAAACAACACACAAAACTCTGCAGGATGATACTGTATAAATAAACATCCTGTCTCAAGTCAAAATGGTTACTTGTATCCTTAATTTCGGCAGCAAGTTCTGTATTGTATTACGATAAATTTGGAAAGCACCAATTAATTTTACTAAAGGTATTTAAATATGAAATTTTATTGCCTCTTGCCTACGACTATAATTTATTCTACTGAAAGTATTTTACTTAGCTCTGTTTTGGGTTTATTTGTGATTTTTCCATCATGAATACTTGAGAAAAAAAAGAAGATAAGTGTAATTTATTTTGTAAATAATGCATGCATGACTTCAGAATAGTGATTATATGATTCCAAATTAATAGCACTTCATTTTAAGTTTTCAGAGAATGCCCGTTTTAAACAATCTTTTGAGTTATCTGACCTAGGTCAGTTATGAGGAGGTCTACGTTATGTCTCTTTTAGGACTGAGCACGAAATAATCAGGAAACTATTTAATTCCATCCAATCTCCAAGTATTAGCCGTAAATTAGGTTCTCTAACAAGCTCCAACTAGAATTAAGGAATTAAGCTAGTACAAATCTAGCTATAGTCTTGCGGCGGGGAGCGCCCCTTTGACTCAACATTTTATAGAGTAGCACTGGGGAGTAACACCGATCAGCTGGTAAAGATTCTTATCTTTCCTGTCACTATGGATACTGATACATTTCTGCTGCTGACCTTGTGATGAATATGTCTACGACCTACTGCAAACTATCTGATGCACATCCATCAATCAGTAAATATTTTAATATGAGTTGACTGTCCACTACGACCTGATCACAGAACACAGATATGATACTATCACTCACTTCATACTAAGTTGTGTCGATTACACATAATTATCGGTTGACAAGACTAATCGTTGCTGAGAAGTTGGAACTCGTCAGAACAGAAGTGAATGAAATAAAGGGTGCCGATGTCAGATTTGAGCTATACCACTTGACTGTGTCGGTAGATTGTTAAAGATCTTTTAATTTATGCACAACGCCCTACTGAAGACAGCTAGTTTATCGACTGAGCTTGTATTATACTGATAACAATGCACAAATAGAAAGAAACACTCGAGCGAATAACACAGCTATTGAGGAGTTCAAGTTTGTATAGCATGCTTACAAAGTTAATATTTCCTCAGCCATGCTACACATAAAATACCTAGCACAGTGAATTCCATTCTGATAGTGTTAGAACATGTCCATTTTTATCATACTTATTTACACGTTTTAATTGTGTTGACAGGATCAGCCAAAAGAGACGTACCTACTGTCAAGATCTCCTTGACTCACGGCAGCCTACTGATGATGAACCCTCCGACCAACACACACTGGTACCATTCTCTTCCCAAGAGGAAGAACTGCCCCGGAGTCCGAATAAATCTCACGTTTCGCACCATGATCGTCAAGCCCAAGCGATAGTAATGCAGTGTTTAGAAATGAACTTGTGATATTTTTATACTTCTATGTAATGTGTGTAATGTAATGTAATTATGATGTACAGTCAGATCTGGAGATTTATAAACTAAACTGTTAGATATTTAAGTTGAAATAAAGTGAATACATTATTTTATAACAGAAGTATTGCATGTTTTACATAAATCCTTACCTTACATTATAAAAGTAAAAGTTTAATTTTTCAGTTTTAAATCTGTTACAATATTTTCAAGTGTCATTTTTTGTAACAGTGTAAAAAGCACAAAATATTTTAACACGTTCGCTACTGATCGTCGCATATATGCGACGCCGCGGTCATTGCCACAGACCGAGGTATACATTTGAATCTTACACATAGACCGTCTGTCACTTGGATAACAGTACACACAGACCACGGGCGAAAACCTGTAAAACAGTGATCATTTACATTATAATACGCTACAATCGTGTTTGTAAATAAATTATTCTTGTTTTTTGTATTTTTTATAACCTTTAGTAATGTCGCATATTTGCGACGCCCGGTCTACAGCGAAGACATTAGTGAAAATTATCATAGTTTTCTTGAAATAGACTAAACGTCGCATATATGCGACAGTTCATTTTTTTGTGTTTTAAGGTGAAAGTAAGTAAAAAATAAACAGATTATTCAAGAACAGTTTATAACTGAACAAATATAAAAGCTAAATAGGATAATGCAGCATACATACTGCACACATACATACAGTGATGCAGAAAAGTAAAGACCCGTTTTTCCAACTATTATATTGTAACGTACTTTCTCAGGTTTTTACCTTTGTACAGCATTCAGACCTTTTCGGGGATTTTAGGACTCAGATTGACTGAACACTTGCATGGATTACAACACATTTATTATTTCAGGACTATTTACACAAAAACTATACACAATATATACAAATCTCTTCTGTTCGTGAAGCCCAACCTGTGGCTTCTCCCACTTGCTCCACGGCTCTCAGGAGTCCTAACAGCACGGCTCTACCCTTCTCCTCTCGGCTCAGGCAGACCTTTTCTCACGGCTCCTGCAGTCCTCTCCTTGGCTCCTGTAGTCCTCTCCTCGGCTCCTGCAGTTCTCTCCTTTCGGCTCCTGCAGTCCTCTCCTCTCGGCTCCTGCAGTCCTCTCCTCTCGGCTCCTGCAGTCCTCTTCTCTCAGCTCCTGCAGTCCTCTAACTGGCTCCGTCTCGGGAAGTGCTGGGCGGCTCACCAACCAGAGCCCAAACGCAGCAGCTCCACACGATGCCACCAGTCTCGCTGTCGGACGTCGGCTCCTCTGTCTCGAGAAGTGCTGGGCGGCTCACCAACCAGAGCCCAAACGCAGCAGCTCCTTACAAGGTTGCCTGTCCCACTGTCGGATGCGGACTGCCCGAGAAGTGCTGGGCGGATCGCTGTCCCAAGCGCAGCAGCTCCTCGCGATGTCGCCAGCAACGCTGACGGATGTCGACTGCCATCTCTCCTAGACGGCACTGCTCTTACATAGTGGAGGTGGGCCTCTTAATCCCCCTCCAGACGGATTCATGGTCCCGGGAGGCAGCTCCATTGGCCACCGGGGACTTAAACGGAAATAAAACGGATGCTGGGGCTCAACACGCCAACCAGCTGCACCGGGCTCAACACGCCTCTAGTGCCGGAACGGAATGTACCGGGCTCAACACGCCTCTAGTACAGGAACGGAATGTACCGGGCTCAACACGCCTTTAGTACGGGAACGGAATGCACCGAGCTCAACATGCCTCTAGTGCGGGGACGGGAAGCACCGAGCTCAACACGCCTCTAGTGCTGGGGACGGGATGCACCGAGCTCAACACGCCTCTAGTGCTGGGGAACGGGAAGCACCGAGCTCAACACGCCTCTAGTGCTGGGGAACGGGATGCACCGAGCTCAACACGCCTCTGGTGCTGGGGGACGGGATGCACCGAGCTCACCACGCCTCTAGTGCGGGGGAACGGGAAGCACCGAGCTCAACACGCCTCTAGGGCTGGGGAACGGGATGCACCGAGCTCAACACGCCTCTAGTGCTGGGGGACGGGATGCACCGAGCTCAACACGCCTCTAGTGCTGGGGGACGGGACCCACCGGTGGCGCCTACCGGCGGGGGCGGGCCGTGAGGCCCAACTCAAGAAGTCCCCCAAGGATGCTCCTTATATAGGGCCAGGAAGTGCTTCGAGAGTGGGGGAAGGTACCCAGTACCCAGCGAAAGTCCTGCGCACTTTTCCCTCAGCACTTTCCCTCAGAAATTTTCCCTCGGGTCACTGAGCACCTTTTCCTGGTACTTTCCCTCAGGTCTTTCCCTCAGTACTTTTCCCTCATGTCACCGAGTACCTTTCCTGGTGTTTACCTCAGGTCTTTTGAAACACTTCATTACAATATGACGTCACCAATCATCATATCCACAGACCAAGCGACGCAGTTGTGCGTCAGACATCTCTGTAGACCACTGCAGGGAATTCAGTGCCTTCAAATAGACCACTACAAAGATATAAGCATTTTAATAACATTAGAACCCCGACGCAAATATGCGTCGGCAGTCTATTTTAATGTGACTAGCCGTCGCATATATGCGACGGCAGTCTTATGGGTGGAAACCGGCCGTCGCATATGTGCGTCGCTGGTCCATGTGAATGGAAAATTTCGTACTATTGCAGTAGCGAACGTGTTAAACACTGATCTAAATAAAAATCATATGTTTAATTTCATCCCTGAAATAGCAATAGTAATAACTTTAAACTGACCGATAAAATTTAAACTAGTGTACTAAGCCTGTAACTGGCCTAAAAGCTCGGTGGGATAGGTAGCACTCTTTTTAAATAACCCTTTTCATGTAAATATGCTACAAATTTTGCCCTCATCAAATTCTATTCATGATTTATTGCAGAAAAATATTACTAAAAAAACTAATTAGAATGAGCTTCTTGATTATCAGCAGGTTTCTCTACAATTGATTATAATATTACTGATGAGAAAAAACATTTAATATATTGATGACAAAATAGTGTACTTTAATATAATTTTGTCCCCAAATCAAGGGTCTTCTACTATATCTCTAATGTACAATTGACTATATTGGATAGTCAAAAGGTACTACAGTACATTTTGTGTCATTTGACAAAATTAAACATCTCCTACTGAGGTAAACTTTATATTCGCCACTTGTCAAACTGAACTACCCACAAACAGAAAGGCTTCCCACGGATACACATCTTACAAATAAAGAAGTAACGGAATTTGCGGACAACCTATTGTCTTGGACAACTCTTTGTATTCATCCATGTTTGGTCCCTCTCCAAGATCATTGTGCCACACCTAACATATCTTACACCACAACACCACAGACCTTGTGGTACTCTGTGCATGATGTGGCCCTTAAACTATTTCAGGTCTTTTGAAGCTGATTTTGTTGACTAATGCCCAACTTTACCTATAAATTATAACCTGCCTATTCTTGATTATTTCTAAGCATAAACCGGCTTAAGAATCTGTATTGGCTTTGACAATAATTGATATAAGCCAACCACAAATGTTGGCTAAGCTATTCGTAAACTAAGGTAAGAAGCAGATTTGCGTAGTCTTGCTACCTAGCTCAGCTTATTCAGTGATTGACACAATGCAGATGGTGGCAGTATTACATTACATTATCGATGATGAGGTCGAGGACAACACAAAGATGCATATTATAACAAAAATATGTGTGTAGGTAGAGTGAAGTAATTAAGACGCTTTGTTACTTGCATACAATCCCCATACAATAATTATTGCATGTAGTTTACTCCTAGTTTACTAGTGTTTGCCAATTATTGACAAATACTAGTAAACTAGCTATACTACACAAACACTTCCACTTCTATTCCACATACACAACGATCACAGCGGTACACAAAAACCATACGAACCGAACTCATTAAAATAAAATTATATGTCGTTACATTTATAATCAGAGAACCAATTTATTGATCACCGCAACCAAAGGTTTGAAAGCTGTTTTTAAGGCCCTTCACAAAGTCAATCCACATCCAAATCCAAAATGTAACCAACTGGTTACGTTAAATTATTCTGGATTGACAAACCAGTTGATACTATTAACACACATAGTTTAATTACACCAAGTTTCATTTCTGGTTTAAATCAAAAATATATTTGAATTGATTCAACACACCTTGTATTTTTTTCTGACCCTGTCCTTGTTGCTCTAATACTGTTTCCATGATAAACCAGTTCCCTAGGTCTGGAAGTCGACACACACAGAGCTCCGCTTGCCTGGCCAAGGCTGCTTACTGCAGGAGGTCGCCTGGTGTCCTGCAGGTTCCGTTTGTGACACTCAAAAGTCCTCTAAGTACCAGCCACCCCTTGACACGGTCCACATAACATCTATTGTTGACCTGAAACATAGCTAAGGAAAAGGGAGCAGAAATGTAATGGAAGATGGATAGGTGAGAAAGTTAATCCATGTGTTGGGAAGCTGAAGAAACATGGATTAGTACAGCCCCTGCTCCTGCTCAGATGAAGGGTAGGGAGACAGGGAGGCTGGTTGCGATGGACAAGCCACCGGGCGATGGGATCGCCAACCCCTACGCCTTACGAGAAAGATTGTGGGGCTGCTGAGGACAGCATCAGCTTAGCACAAAGAGCAACTGTTTGCGCTCCTTCCAGAGCAGAAGAAGGCATACTTACTGCCCATGTATGATCAGCATGGAATCAGTGGCTGAACCATTCCCTTATATTGGACTCAGTGCTCCCAGGGAAGCAGATAAAGAGGTATTTAAAAAAAATAACAATCTGTTTTTGGGCTTAGATGTTGTCTTTGTCAGGATATTATTTGTGGGTGACTTAAAAAACATACTTGTGTTGGTTAGTGTATGCTTGAACGTAACAGCACGTTTCATACAGTCAACAAATGCTGTAAATTATTATCCTAAAAGTGTTTGATGCTAAAAATAATTAAGAGCAGCTGTTTCTATATCTAGTACCATGATAAAGGATAGCTGGTACGGTACCATGTAATGTAAGAATTTTGATTTTTAAAAAATCAACCGTTGTTTTTTGTTCAAAAAAATCCTTTCTCATATCCACTAAGCAAAATAATAGTATGAAAGTTATTAAATATATGTCT